ACGACAGGGTCTCAGCTCAGGCTGGCCTGGAGCTCACTTTATAGCCCAGGCTGGTCTCATATTTGCAACAATTCTCCTGCCTCAGCCTCCCAAGTGCTGGGATTACTGGCATGTGCCACTATGCCTGGCTTCCCGCTCCCCACCCCCACCCAGTTAAAATTTTACCTTTTCTTTCTTTCTTTTCTTTTTTTTTTTTTACAGAACCAGGGATTGAACTCAGGCCCTTGTGCTTGCCAGGCAAGCGCTTATTCTACTGAGCCATCTCCCTGGTCCCTCTTTTCTTAAATTTAGATCAATTTTTACTAGATCATGACTTAGTGCTTATGTCACTCTGTTGCAAACATTCTTTCTGCCCACATATGCTGAGTAGTTGTGAAATTAAATCTTGATGCATTCTCTCTTTTTTTTTTTTTTTCTTTTTGGAGACAAAGCCTCACTATGTAGCCTAGGCTGGCATGGAACTCCAAGGTTCAAATGACCCTCCTGCCTAGGCCTCCTGAGTAGCTGGGACTTCCAGCGTGTAACACCATGCCTGGCTATAAAGTCTTTCTTTTTTCTTTATTTTTGTGGTATTGAACTCAGGACTCTATGCTTGCCAGGCAAGCACTTATTCTACTGAGCTATCTCCCCGGCCCAAAGTCTTTCTTTCTTTACAGTTAAACATTTTATTTTACAATTACTATAAATTGCTAACACAGGGCTCCTGGCTACTGCTGGGGTGCAACTGCTCAGCTCCTGGCCTTGCCTGAGGCAACAGCCAGAAAGTGGAGGTGGGGCAGGGGCAACAAGCCCCGGGGCCTCGCCTGGAGCTGGTACCTGCGGGACTGGGGGTGCAAGGATAACGGGACATGACACCCATGAACTTATTTTACAGACTGGAGGTCATCCAACATGGGGCAGGGTTGATGCGGCCTTCCTGCCTCCCTGGAGGATGCTGCACTGGGGGCAGGGAGAGGCCTGCGGCGGGGGCTGGTGGAGGCTCAGCACACAGTCTGGTCCAAACCAGCAAATGCACAGATCACGAACAGCTAGCCAGGCAAGGCACACGGAACGAGTGCCCGGGGCCCTCCGTCGTTGCTCTACTGTGCATCTGGTGCTGCCACTTGGACACAGAAGATGAGCTGAATACTGAGGCAGCCGGAACTCCAACAGGCATGCTATAGAAATCCCAGGGGCTTCGAGGGGCACCCGCGGCCCAACACTGCCCGCCCGAGGCATGCACGGCAACCAGGAGTGCAGGGCGGAAGGTCCTCGCTCCACCGCCATGCTGAGGAGCCCGCAGCTTGCAGAGGCGCCTGCGGAAGTCCCAGCTCCAGCTACTGTGAAGAACGGGAGACTCTGAGTTTCGTGAGGAAGGCCGTGGCGAGCACGGACACCCAGGCCCGGCCACTGCCTGTACCATGAAGCGCACTGCCAGCATGGCTCTCTCCTTGGCCGTGACCTTGCACTACCTGTTCTCTCAGCAATCCAGAACTGGAAAAACATTTCAGGATTCAGGCCATGCCTGGCCTCAATCCTCTGTCACGAAATTTGTGCTTAATGATCTGAAACCATAACATGGCCCTGTACTCTAAATAAAAGGTGAAAACAGAACCAAGTCCTAACTCCAATGGAAACATAAGCTGGAGTCGCAATTTGAAAACATACACATGGGTATAAAAGTTCTTTTTTTAAAAAATTTGATACGGGGTCTCTCTACATAGTGACCCTCCTGTCTCAGCCTCCCCAGCATTACGATTATAGGCATGCACCTCCACACCCAGTTTCGGGGCCGGCATGGTGAGCTTAGCACAGCATGCAGTACCAGGGATCAAACTTGGGTCCTTGCACCTGCCAGGCAGGCACTTAGACCGCTGAGCCATCTCCCCAGTCCAAAAGTTACTCTTGATGTTTTGTTTTGAGAAAGGATCTCAACATGCAGTTCAGACTGGACTTGAACTTGCTCTGTAGCTCAGGCTGGCCTCAAACTCGAGGCGATCCTCTACCTCAGCCTCCCTGAGCGCTGGGTTAACAGGCCTGAGTAACCCCGCCCAGCTTGGCATTTTCTTTGTGTTAAAAAAATAGATTATTATAAACTCACACACAAAAATAAAAACTCACTTGCTTTGGCAAGAAATGAGATAGGGAGACCCTCTGCGTTCCTTCCACTACTGCACCCCAGCGGTGCCAGCCTGCAGGATGGCTGGGGGGACCCCGACTCGCCCCGCCGCATCCTCTAGCTCCCCACCTGCGGGCCTCAGACCTGGCCACGCCCAGCTCCACCCTCTCCGCGTCCTCGCCACTTTTTCTCTTTCAGGTCTCTGTGAGGTTTGCAGCGCTCTGCACTGGGCTTTCATGTGCATTTCTCTGGTGGCCGGCGAGGCCGGCCTCCCCGTGTATTCACGCACCACCCGTACACCCTGTCTCCTGCGCATGCTCTAACGGAGCAGTTGCTTCCTTCTGCTGAGCTCTGAGGGCTTTCTGTCCTCCGCCTCGGTCAGCGATGTGGTTTACAATGTTTCCTGTCTGTTTCATCTTCTGCAAGAGCCAGTTTAACATTTTGATGAAATTTAATCTTTGATGGATTACGAGTTAGGAGGGTAAGAATTCTGTGCCTCGCCTATACAGAATCTTTAAGAGTTTTCTGTTTTCTGGGCTGGTGAGATGGCTCAGTGGTCTAAAGCACCTACTTGGAACAAGCTTGGCGAAGCACAGGGACCGCGGTTCCATCCCCCAGCACCACAAGCCAGCCACCCCGCCCCCTGGTGGGCTGAGCTGGCCACACACACATAAATGGATAGATGGATAAATAAATAAATTTTAAAAAAAAAGTTTTCTGTTTTCTAGACTTCTGTAGCTTTACACATAAGCCCATGATCCGCATTGTGTTCACTGCAGAAAAGGAGTGATGTTCACCATGAGTCAAAGTTTACTATGGTGGCCGGCTCTCTGGCGCCGACTTCTGGACAGCTGTGGAACTGCAGCGGCAGGGCTCCCTGTTCAATTGTTCTCGGACTGTTCTTTATTTTCTTTAGGGTTTTATTTTTGTGGTACTAGAAATTAAACCCAAGGCCTTCACACCAAGCTACATCCCCAGCCCCTTTTATTTCAAGGCTGGATCTCACTAAGTAGCTAAATTGCCCTGGCTGGGCTTGAACGTAGGATCCTCCTGCCTCAGCCTCCCAAAGTACTAGGATTAGATGGGTGGGCACCGACCACCAAGCCCACCTTTTCTGAGTTTTTGTCAGGAATGTCTGTTAGATTTTTGTCAAGTAACTGTCTGCACTGACTAACATGACACACTACATCTTTGGGTATCAAGCCAGCCTTGTATCCTTGGTATGAACTGTACTTGCACATGGTGTACAGTTGTTTTTTTTAACATCCTCCTAAATCTTAGCAAATATTTTGCTGAGGAGTTTGTGTCTGTGTGTCTTTCTGTGCTACTCTTTGTGCTTGGTTTTGACTTGGGGTAACAGTATCCTTCCAAAAGGAGTGGGAAAGTGTTTCTCCCCATCCATTTTTCTGCAAGTGAACATATGGAATTGGGACAGGTTCTTCAAGTGCTCCATGGAATTCTCCAGTAAGACCACCGGAGCCTGGGGACCTGTTCTGAGAGTTTGCAAGTCCGGTGCAGAATTTTCTTAACAGTTACACAGCTGCTGAAGCCATCTACCTCTTACACAACTTATGGTAGTTTGTGCTTGGGGAAACAGGCGCAGGTCTGGTCTTCCATGCGGAGTGCGAGCCGTAGTGGTCCTGTCCTCAGCCCTGGACTCTGCAGTGTCTCCCACCCCCGGGCAGCTCTGCACCTGTCTGCATGTATGAAAAACCAGCTGTGTCCTAACCCACCTCTCTTCTGGGCAAAATGCTTTTTTCCTGCTCTTTGCAGACCCAGTGTCTTTACTCCTCAAATGTATCACTCCCATGTGTCTTCATGTCGATTTCCTTGGGTTTATCCTGGCTGGTATTTGCTTTTTTTTTTTTTTTTTTTCCTTGAGACAAGATCCCACTACATTGCCCAAGCTGGCCTCAAACTGCTGGACTCAAGTGATCCTCCTGCCTCAGCCTTCTGAGTAGCTTCCGGCTGCGAGGCTCCACCTTAGGGGGAAGCTCTCCTTCATCGGAGCCCGAAGCAGAGGCTCTGTGGGGGACCTTGCCTGCTGAGGTACTCAGGCTGGTGTCAGTGCAGGTGCTCAGCACTGTCACATAGCCTCTGTGCACAGGAACCCCAACAGAGAGGCCCGGACATCACTTCTGGTCCCCATTTGGGCAGCACTACAGCTGTCTGTGCAAAGGGCCCCCTAGGGCCCAGGCAGCCTCTGTCCCCTCTTGTCTCTCCCGGCCTCACCGTCTCCTTGGGGGCCCCCCCTCAGCCTGCTACGCCTCCTTTCTCCCTGGCCTTGGCTTTCCCCCTCTCTATTGCTGTGTTCACTTCGGGCTCACCACGTGGACCCAGACGTCCTGGGCTGGGGCTAATGAGGGGTAGGCCTCTGCAGGAAGAACCAGAAATGGGCTGGGGACAGCACGGGGACATGACGGGGACTGGCTTGGGTCTGCAGGTGGCAGACAGTGGCACGGGAGACACAGGCCCGGCCCGGGGTGGCTTCGGCCACTCACCTTCACCTCCTTCTCGATGTAGTCGCTCAGCAGTCGGTCGGGCTCCACGCGCTCGGGCAGGGACAGCACCACCGTGTGCAGCGGGCGCCTCTCTGTCACCTTCTCGTGGGCTTTCTTATCTCTACTCTTTTCACCTTTTAGGAATACGCGTTTAAACGGCGACACAATCCCGGGCTGCAGGCAGAAACGGCAAGGTGGAGTGCATTATTCACCCGCGTCCGCCGACCCTCGGGCTCACAGACCACCTCTGCCTGCGGCTGACCGGGAGCCCAAGGGATGGGCGGTTGCACGACCCGAGAGGAGCACAGGGAGCCACCGAGCCACCCACACAGGCTGCTGACTTTTATTTCCAGCATTTTATATGTGAAATTTGCCATAATGTTTGGGTTTTTTTTCCGTTTGAGACAGAGTATCCCTATTCAGTTTGGGCTGACCCTGAGCTCACTATGCAGCCCAAGGTAGCCTCCAACTGGCAGTGATCCTCCTGCCTCAGTCTCCTGACTGCTGGGACGACAGGTGTGTGCCATCACACCCAACAATACTACATATTTGAAAGGGACAAAGATGGGTGCAGGGTTGCACACTGGTAATCACAGCTACTTAGGAGGTTGAGGCAAGAAAATCACAAGTTCGAGGCCAGCCTAGGCAACTTAGTGAGACCCTGTGTCAAAAATATAAAAAGGGGGGCTGGGGAGATGGCTCAGTGGAATAAACACTTCCCTGGGAAGCGCAAGGGCCTGAGTTCAATCCCCGGTTCTGCAAAAAAAAATATAGATAGATAGATAGATAGACAGACAGACAGACAGACAGACAGACAGACAGAACTGTGATGAGCTCAGCAGTAGAGGAGCTGCCTTGCGCAAAGACTGGGGTTCAATCTCAGCACCCCCCAAAAGAGACAAAAACTACAGCTGCCCTCTCCCACTGCTCCCCCACTCTGGGACAAGATATAAAGCACAGCAGGTGAGGAGAACCGTCATCCTGGGAGAAACCCCTGCCAGAGAGCAAGTACTTCTGGAAGAGCCAGCCAGGCACCAGCCTGGGGGTACTAGGGACCCCCCATAAGGCAAGATGAGGAGAGGCTGTCCCCAGGCTTCTCCCTGATGGCCTGCAAGCTTGCTCTGTGCCCTTGGCAGATGGGGACAGACCACAGTGACGGTTCTTGGGAAGGAGTGAAAAGCTCACCGGCAGCGGGTCAGGCGCCCCAATGGTGAACTACTAGCTGGAAAAGGCCCCGAGACCCGGTGCCACTCGAGCAACCCGCTCGAGCAACCTGCTCCATTACCCCACCACTGCGAACAAACAACCCTGACTCCCTCGGCACCAGTGGGCACAGGCCACCCTCTGCTGTCTTCACTTCCAAGGCGTGGCGGGAAGGGGCACCAGCACGGCCACAGGGAGGCCACAGACTCAAACTAGCCTCAAGCCAGCTCTTCCCCTTCCAGGTGTCTGCCTGTAGAAGTCCAAGCCATCCTGTTCGCGGTCCGCGCGCACCCATGGTTACGGTGGCATGGTTCCTAACAGCTAAATGAGGAAGCTCTTTACAGGTGATGGGCATACGTGTCCAGTGACAGGGGGGTGTAGGAAGGAAATGTGGGGCCTACACACCGCAGAGCACCACTCAGCATAAAGAAGGATAAACTCGAATTGTTTGTGGGAAAATACACGCCCTTGAGACTGTAATGCTAAGGAAGAAATCAAACACACAGCTTGGTTTCTCTTACGTGGGAAGCCCATAGTATTAAAAAAAAATAAAAAAAGCAAAACAAAACTGGGATATGGGAAACAGGGAGACAGACCTCTAGCAAGGGTGCAAGAGACCCAGGTGCGGCAATGATCAAAGCACTGAGATGTGGTCTGTGGGGTACCTCAGCAGTCTAAGTGCCTGCCTGGCAAGTACAAGGACCTGGGTTCAATTCCCAGTACTGCGTACAGAGCTGGTCCCAGAACCAGGAGTAGTGGTTCATGCTCATAATCCCAGCACAGGGGAGGCTGAGACAGGAGGATCACTAAGAGTCTGAGCTGCACAGCAAGACCCTGTGCCAGGGCTGGTGAGATGGCTCAGTGGTCTAAGGCACCTACTTAAAACAAGCTAAGCTAAGCAAAGCACAGGGACCGCGGTTCAATCCCCCAGCACCACATGCCAGCCAGCCCCGCCCCCTGGTGGGCTGAGCTGGCCACACACACACACACACGCGCGCAAAATAAATAAATAAATACTTTTTAAAAAAAGACCCTGTGCCAAATACATAAATTTTTTTTAAAAAAGAACTGAGACGCGTGACGGCCGTGTACCAGCTCCTGATGTTGCACATGATTGCTAGGTCCTGCAAGCGTGTGCTAATAAAGGAAGATTTTTAAAAAGCTCCCAGTTCTTGATGTGCAAGGCCCAGGCATGAAGGTCGAAGAAATACAAAGGCATGTGTCCCCAAGCCTGGCCCTGAGAAGCTGGGTCCCTCAGAAACAGAGGCACTGGCACACTCAGCTGCCCCCAAACCATCTCCTCCTGCAGGAGCTGCATGGCATGGACAGTGACAGGCAGCTCAGCCTGTTCACCTGCCCCTCTGGAAGCTGCCGGAGCGAACCGCAGCCGCTACAGATCTGTACCTGGGGGCAACAGGAAGTCCATTCTGGGGCAGAGATTCGCCAAGCTCGACCTCTACCCAAGAAGCCCTCCTGAACCTGTGTGCTGCAGACCACGGGCAGCTTACACCACTCTTGGAAGGGCGATGTCAGCTCACAAAATTAGAGTCTGCACACAGAATCACAGGCTGCGCCTACGGCCCGCCCCTGGAGAAGGCTGCAGTTAGGCAGAGCGGGTGGCACTGGCAGGGATGTTTGCTGGCTGAGGAAACCAGCCAGGTCCCCAGAAATCAGGACGCCTCCTGTGGGTGCCTCTACTGCCCAGTGATCTGCCCATCCTGAGGTTTGGTTTTGGAATTTTACTTTGTTTTATTTTTTTTCAGACACGGTTTTACTATATTATTCACGCTGACGTCGAGCTCACTATGTAGCCCAGGGTGGCTTCAACCTACAGCATCCTTCCTCCTAGGTTCCGGAGCACCAGGTTTATAGGTGTGGGCTGCCACTCCCAGCATTCCCTTTTTAAGAACGCTCCAGTCAATCCCAGAACTCTCTCGAGAGTGAGGCAGGACGATCTGTGCCAATTCAAGACCAGCCAGGGATACATAGCAAGATCCTGTCTCAAAAAAAAAAAAAAACAAAAAACCCTGACCCTTAGAGTCCCTCCAGCCCTGAGCTGCCAGGCAGGCAGTCCTTCTCAGGGTGGCCCGCCTAAGGGCTCTGCTGAGCAGGGCCAGCTCCGGGTCTGCCTCGAGCTGGTGTGGAGGTAGCTGCTGATGCCTGTGACCCCGCAGTCAGGAGGCCACAGCAGGCGGATCACCAGCAATCTGAGGCCAGCCTGGCTACACTGAGTTCAAGGCCAGCCAGAACAAAAACAAAAAAGCATCAACCAGCAGCAGCAGCTGAACTTTAGCCGCTCCCTGCAGGGCCGGCGGTGAGCAGCTGGCGCTACTGAGCAAACCTGGGGAGACTAACTTCTACATCAGCACCTGCTTATCAAAGTGTAACACAAAACGCCACACGAGATGAAGAGCCAGAGCATCCACACCCAAGGGACGGGGCCCTGTTTGGGGACCCACGCATGACAGTTCACCCGCACATGACAGTGCTGAGGAGCTTGGTGGCCCCTGTAGAGAAAGCACTGACCAGTGTGAGAAGGAAGAGAGGAAGAACGGAAGAACGCTGCGCGAGGAGAGGCCTCCTCCATCCCCAGCAAGCTCGGACTGAGCACAGGCAGGCTCCATCCGGGCAATCCTAGTACTCAAAACAAAACCAAACAAGAATTTCTGAACAAAGACACGTAAAAGCCCTGTGGGTGGGCTTGTGTCCAGCCTCCAGCCATGCTCCAGACACTGCCGCGACAGAGGAGCCCCACACATATTCCCAGGACACCCCAACCTCAGAGGGAAACAAATACCCACTGCAGATGGCCACCAGGCCTGGTAGGGACAGGAAAAGAACAGGAAGAGGAACCAGCTCGGTGCAAGGGCCCAGGCGGCTGCTCAGGACAGCCCGGCCTTGGCGGAACCTGGGGTTCGCCTGACACCCACACCGGCCACCTGGGCCAGGGCATACTGCCACTGTCTCCCCCACTCCAGGTGACAAGAGCTCCCAGCCAGCCCACAAGCTTGCCTGCGCACGCTGTGCCCACTGCAGCGCCTTGAGATAGACCTGCTACTTTCCTTAAGAAAATCAAGTACTTCAGGGCCCACTGAGGCAGAAGGGACCTTTCCTTGGGGCCACAGAGGACAAAATAATGAGCAGAACACCGCTGTGCGCATGCCCAGCTCAGGCTGGCAGGGTTCAAGGGAAGTAGGTTCTGCCACTGCGGCCAGCTTGTCCTGGTGACAAACGCACAGGCTCAGGGAGGCCACACTGTGGGGCCAGGGTCCCCACGGAGCCCCGAGTCCTGCTGTGGGCCACGGACAGAATTCCAAGCACAAAGCTCTCTAGCTTTAGCTGCTCTTGGCCCTTCCTGCTCAGCCATGACTTCATCCTCTTTAAAATGTTTTATTTTAGGACAGGGTCTTGCTAAGCTTCTAAGGTGTCCAGTCTATGCTGAAACTTGGGATCCTCCTGCCTCAGCCTCCCAAGAGTTGGGATTACGAGCACATGCCCCCACACCCATCTGCAGCTCTTGATTTCTCACTTCTTCCTTCCATTGTTTTTCATCTCAGATCTTGGGTCCCAAAGTGACTCCAAATCCACAGTAAAATGACTCTTTCCCCCCAGAGATGGCCCCTTTTTCTGTGAATTACAACAGAGGAACCAGTGCTGTGGCGCACATCTGCAATCCCAGCACTCCAGAGGCCAGGCCAGCAAGACCTTGTCTCAAAAAGCAAATAAAAAAAGGTGGCTGAACACAAAAGCCTTGCTCACTGCCTGCCTGCCCGCCACCACCACGAGAAACCCGGACCTCAGCCCCGAAAGCCAGTGGGTGAGCCCCACCCGCTGCTCCCAGCAGGGGGCACGATGGATGAGCACCCACCTCGCTGTCCGGTGGCCACAGCACCGCAGACTCCTCGAGGGCAGGCCCTCCTCTGCAGGGCCCCAGGGTCCTGGCCCTGTGCGGACCGTGACCGTGCATCCTCCCGCAACTCCCCAGCGGCAGCAGCAGCACGGCAGGCAAGCCGCTCTCCGAGAAAAGCCCCGGGACAGGAAGACCAGAAACCGCAGCTTCCTCCTGCACGCTTGCTGCCGTTGTTTACAGTTTCTAAACTGCCAGCTGAGAGCAGGAGCAGGCGGCACCCCAAACCCGGAAGGCTCCCATCACTCACCGAGGCGACCCCACAGGCACCTGGCCACCTGAGCCAGTATGGAAGCAGGGACCACTCCATTCCACCAACTCAGCACCAAGGGGCGTCAGCTCACAGGGCGGGGGTCAGGGTCATGGCTGCTGCAGGGATGCTGTGTCGCCCCGACACGGACAGCAGACTTCTGCGGCACAGGTGTGTCCCAGGTTGGGATCACGCAGCACACCTGGCTCTAAGGTGCCTAAGACAGCAATCTGGAACTACAACATGCATACCGCCGGGCACCCCAGCACTCAGGAGGCTGGGGCGGGAGATCGGTGTGAATCTGAGGCCAACAGGGCTACACCGGGAGACCAAGGCCAGCCTCAACTACAGAACAAGAGCCGGTCTCAACACAACACAATGGGCCGGGGAGATGGCTTAGTGGAATAAGTGCTTCCCTGGCAAGCACAAGGGCCTGAGTTCAATTCCCGGTTCTGCCAAAAAAAAAAAAAAAAAAAAAAAAAAAAAAAAAAAAAAAAAAGGAAAACTCAACACAACACAAAAACAACAACAAAAAAAAACTGAACAGTGTGCTCCACAAGCATGCTCACTTTAACTTCTGAAGTTAAATTTATAATGTAGAAAAGGAAGTTGGATTTGTCGCTTTGTGACAAATTCCAAAATGGCTTGCAAACAGGAAAAGCCACTTCCCTGGTGTTCTGGTGAAGGAGAGAGGTTCTGCATGCCCAGAGATCAATCAGTTCAACCCATGTGCCTTCCGAGCTCAACCCACAGCAAAGTACACCAGCCCCTCCAGCCACGCCCGCTCTGCATGACTGGCCTGGCTCATTCTCGGAGCCCCTGTGGCAGGCACTGGCGTTCCCACATTAGTCAGAGAGCACCTGTATACCATTTACCTATCCTACTCCAAGTGCTGGTTCTCCGTACTGTGTCACCTAAAAAATGCCAACCTCAGGAGGTTCAACTTCATCCTGTCACAAAGTGGCAGGTAGTCCTGCCACTCCTGGCTGTCCAGCTCCTGAAAGGCCTGATTGCTGCTGGGAGTAGAACTCACCTGCAGACCCACAGTCGGGAGGCTGAGGCAGGAGGATCACTTCAAGTATGAGGCCTGGGATAGCCTGACCTACATACTGTGATCTTGTCTCAAGAAACCAAAACACAAAAACAAAAGCTCTCTCGGAAGCCATGGACATAGAAACCCAGAGACTGGAAATCCGTCCTGGAGCCAAAGGTGTGGGGCTCAGTCTCTAGGACAGTAGGAACTGGCCTATCACTGCCACTTTGCCTTTCTATGACCCAAGGCAGAACCCACGGTGCAGGTGGTCCTGTCACCTGGCAGGCTTGAGGTGGGAGGATCTCCCAAGCACAGGAGTCCAAGACCAGGCTAGCAGAGGAGGGAGGTCCTTGTCACAAAGGTAACTTCAAAGCAAACAGAAGCAGAGCCACAGCCTCAGATCCCTCCTGTCTACACTGCCCCTGGGGGACCCACTGGCCTAGCTGGAAGGGAAAAAGTAACCAGGTGTCAGGACCACCTGCTTTGTCGGTTCCGAGACCAGCCCTGGGTGCGCTGAGCTGGCTAGAGATCAGGCATGGTGGTGCATGCCTGCAATCCCAGCACTGGAAAGGCTGAAAACAGGAGGATCACTACAAGTCCAAGCTACATAGTGAGACCCTGTACCAAATATGAGAGAGAGAGAGAGAGAGAGAGAGAGAGAGAGAGAGAGAGAGAGAGAGAGACAGAGACAGAGACAGAGACAGAGACAGGCACAGGCAGGCAAGCAGGCAGGCGAGGGGAGGGGAGGGGAGAGGAGTGGAGAGGAGGGGAGAAGAGGGGAGAGGAGGAGAGGGAAGGAAGGAAGGAAGGAAGGAAGGAAGGAAGGAAGGAAGAAAGAAAGAAAGAAAGAAAGAAAGAAAGAAAGAAAGAAAGAAAGAAAGAAAGAGAGAGACAGACAGGCAGACAGACAGAGCCAGAGACAGACCAGGTGTGTGCAGCAGAAGTGACACGTGGGGAGCTCCATCCTGCTTTAGCTACTATGAAGGGTTGCTGGCCTTTATGGGAAAAACAGACAGGTTTAAAAACGAAGTCTGAGCCAGGCATGGTGGTGCACACCTATAATCCCAACACACTGGGAGGCTGAAGCTGGAGGATTACAAGTTCAAGTCTGACCTGAGCAATGTAGCAACTGTGTCTCAAAATAAACAGAACTGCTGTTGGGAGCCGGGGATATAGCTCAGTGGCATAAGCACCTGCCTGGCAAGTGCAAGGTCCCTAGTTTGATCCCTGGTACTGCCAAAAAATAGGAGAAATAAACAATAACTTTAAGAAGCCAGTAGGGGGATGGGCCCCCTCCTTCTGCCCATCACCCCTCCCGCAGCTGGTGGTGCGCACACTGCTGCCCTTCAGGTGGGCAACCTGCCCTTCTGCCCACCCCAGGCCTGTGCACCTCTGCCAGGAAGCACAGCTGGGCCAGGACTGAAGGCAGGGGTGATGCGGAAGATGAGAGCGGGGAGGCGAACTGGGCCTGCGCAGTAGCCTTCTTGCAGCTTGGTGGAGCAAAGGCTAACAGCAAGGGTTCTCTGGCCCCACCCAGAAGGGATCCAGAGAGACCACCTTTGAGAAGCGATCCAAATCACGTCTGGAGAAGCTGGACAAGAAGAGGAACTCCTCCGAGGGCGACGCCGTCACCCGTCCCAGTCCTCTCCAAGCCCACAGCAGCAGCCCGCGCTCTCTGCACTGGTCACCTGGACCGGCTCATGACCCGAGAGGAAGAACTTCCCACCTGGGATCAGCGAGCATTCTGCACAGTGCACTGATGAGAGCTCTGGCCCACAGTCACTGTGTCCTAGGAGGGCACCCTGGCAGAAGAGCGACAGGAGGGGCCGGGGAGATGGCTCAGTAGAATAGGCACTTCCCTGGCAAGCACAAGGGCCTGAGTTCAATCCCTGGTTCCGCCAAAAATAAATAAATAAATACATACATACATACATACATACATACATAGAAGAGCGGCAGGACCTCCTGGGAAGGGGCAGGAGGCACCCCCACAGTAAGCCGCGTTGGGGTGCAGCTGGCCATCCAGGCACTGGCTCCAGCTAAGGCCGCCAGCTTGTCAGTTTCCACTTAGGCACCTTACAGGACCTGGATGTCTCACTGGGCACCTCCCTCCGCAGTGGAAACCCTGCACTGCACTCGACTCTGCCCGCGCCACACGTGGAGGCCGCAGCTCTTCATCTCTAACCTGAGTATCAGATTAATTCTGGATGCTTTCTTTTCTTCCAAGAGGTCCGGGCCTGGCACCAGGCATCGCACTTCGGGCTGATGCAGTTTTAAAATTCCAGTTTCTAAGCAGGGCGGATGCACTGCCTGGAATCCCAGCAGGAGGGGCCAAGGCAGGAGGATCAGTGGAGTGAGCCTCTGTCTCAAAAAGCCATAAATTCATACATATGTAAGTACTAGGGCTGTACTTCAGTGTAAAGACCCTGGGCTCAATTTCCAATCCAAGGAAGGAAGGAAGGAAGGGAGAGGTCAAAGGTCAGCGACAAACTGGTGGCACACACCTGTAATCCCAGTACTCAGGAGGCTGAGGCAGGAGGATCACCATGAGTTTGAGGCCACCCTGGGCTACCACACAAAGACCTTTTCTCATAAAAACCAATCAGCAAGTCCAGCCAAAGTCATGAGGCCAACAGTGACTATGACTGGCTGAGTTTCTTAATTTGCGGGTGAGTGAGGCGCACTGCAGGGCCTTCAGCCAAAAGGTCATCCACACTGAAGAACGCAGGGTCGGGGGCCTCAGTGGCCAGCGCTTTATTATGATTTGGGGGTTTTGGTTGGGTTTGTTGTTTTGCAGTTACTCTTTTCTTTGTGGTACTAGGCCTGAGCTACATCCCCAGACTTTTGTTTTTATTTTGAGGAAGGGTCTTGCTAAGTCCCTAAATTGCTCAGGCTAGACTGGGCCTCAAAATCCTCCTGCCTCAGCATCCTAGAGTGCTGGAATTACTGGCATCTATCACAACACCTCGCTTATTTTTTCTTTAAATAATTGGCATGGCAACTTTTTATGCTAAAATAATTTTAATTTTACATCATATACAAAGCACCCATATTCCTTTCACTCAGATTCGTGAGTGTTTACCATTTCTAAACCACTGAAGAATGGTGGCTCGCTATGTAATCCCAGCACGGAGGGAGGCTGAGGCAGAAGCCCAAGTTCAAGCCCTGCCAGGCAACTCAGCGAAGTCAGGAGGCTGTCTCCAAATAAAAAAAGAAAAAGGTCTGGGAATGTAGCTCCATGACAAGGCCCTGGGTTCCATCCCAGTTTAAAAACTTCATTTCAATAAGACACAAAGATCTTAAACATGTATGTACTTCACAGCTTTAAAAAAATATATATATATAACTAAAGAAACAAAAAAAAGAAATGCAAAATATAATGGAAGAATTTAACACCTCTCTCAGTGGGTGATTCTTATACTTTGTATCTAGATGTCTCCCAAAGTCTTTTAGAAGGGGATAAAGGGAACTTGGCCACCTTGCTGTTGGCAGGAGGGGTCTGGGCCCTCCCCAGCACCCCGTTTTTCTCTCTGCTTCCAGTCCGAAGGCCAAGAGCAGCTCAGCCGCCACACCCTCCCTTGCCACCCGATGATGGACGGAACCCCTACAAACTGTGGGCCAAGCAAACCTCTCCTTTAAACTGTGGAAGTCAGGTATTTTTGTCCCAGTGATAAAGAAAGTACTTAAGGCAGATGTTGACACCAGAGAAAATGGGCTTTCTGTGATGTGGTCAGGGCCTGACAGATGAGGACCTGGCCTTGAGTCTTACAGGGACGTCAGGCTTCCCAGCCACGCCGACACCGTGAG